AAGGAAGGAAGGAAGGAAGGAAGGAAGGAAGGAAGGAAGGAAGGAAGGAAGGAGCTTAGAACCAGTAGGTTGTTTTCAAAAACCAATACCCAGTCTTTTCGCAGTATCATGTATCATCAATGAATTCATGGGGTTCTTTCTTGACCAAATCATCTGAAATCAGTAAAGAAAATGTCTGAGACACAGGTTTTAAAAACGTTCCATGACTTTCTTGAGAAGATATAACATCTATTCACCCCAAGTAAGAGTGAAGTGGGTAAGTGTTGTGTGCTCTCTTTGCTGTTACCAGCCATCCTGCCAGTCTCAGGAGATACTGCCCAGCCTGGGCAGGGTGGCCTGTTCTGAGGCAATCTGGCAGGTAGAACAGGTCAGTGGCATCTTCCTGCAGCACGGGTGCCTTGGCTAGAATTCAGAAGACTAGCCAACCCTACAAAGGAATTTGACAGGCAGTTTTGCCGTGACTCTGACACAAGATGCAGTAGAAATGTTTAGGAAATAAAGAAAACCTGAACTTGATTATAGACTCCACGAGGGAGAAATTTCATTTCCACATAGTGTACTCATTGTCTGATGTAAAAAGGGCACTCCCTGAATGACTAACCGAACAAACACCTTTGTGAAGTAGAAACAGAAATTGCTGCTAAACATATATTTGATATAAAGTAGTTCACTACTTCAGAACACTTGAATAGTGACCAGACATTTACATTAGCCCTGACTAGGTATGACTGTAATGGGAATTAAGTGGATGGGTGGGTGTGCTGATGTTGTACAACTAGAACCAAGAAAACACTATAAATGTGCAGTCGGTAGAGTGAGCCAGTACTGTCTAAACTAAGGAAGACTCCAACAGGAATACAGGCATGTAGAAGCCACTGAGGCTACACATTCTTTATAGAGATAGTATCGTCCCCAGCAGAGACTGATGGGAGGAATAAGTCTCAGATCTAATCTCATCATTTTAAGCTTGTTCATGACACTCCAAAGTTGAACTTCACATATAAAGTTTAATCCTTATTTAATTTTATGAGAAGTGGGGTCACAAGGAGAAACAGGGTGGGGTGGGGATTCTAGAAAGGGCTACTGACAGGGGTGATACTCTTAAGTGGTGACAAAATTCTGATTTCAAAGTAGTTTCTTCACTCTTCGTGCAAAAAAGGGTAACCAATTTCTATTTAGTTTTCTTATTTTATATTTTATCATATTCACCTTCTACATTTCTTCTTCAGCAACCTGGCCTCATTTCATCTCTGAGGATGTTACTTCAAATTGATCCCGGGAACAGAATCTTAATTCTGAATTCTACACTTCTTCAGTAAAGGGAACTTCCTCGTTTTCTTTCATTGCTTTTCTCTTGGACTTGCATAGATGGGCATGAACGTGTGTGTACAAATGTGTGTGTTCAAGTTCAAGTATACATGTGTGCATGTGAAAGGCAGACATCAATGTAGCAATCAGAACTGCTTTATTTTGGGGGGACAAGGTCTCACGCTGAATCTGGAGGTGGCTGACTTAGCTAGACTGACTGACCAACAGGCTCCAGGAATCTGCATGTAATGTCTCTGCATTCCCAGTGCTGGAATTACAGGCGCATACTCCTAGACCAGTTTTGTGGGGTATTTGTAAACTGTGTGAAGGTCTATTGCTGTGATTGCTGTAATAAAAAGCCAAAGTATGAGGAAGAATCTAGGTGAGAGAGAAGGAGGGTTGGGGGAAGACATGGAGGAATCAGGATGTGCAGTACATGACAGAATGTAGATTAATAGAAATGGGTTAATTTACTTTATACCAGCTAGTTACAAACAAGCCTAGGCTAAGGCCAAGCTTTCATCATTGATCAGTCTCTGAGTCATTATTTGGGAGCTGGTGCCCCCCCAAATCTAACTACAGCCTTAAAAAAACAAAAACAAAACAAACAAAAAACCCCAGGTGCTGGACATCTAAAATCAGGTCTTCATGCTTCCATGGCAAGTGCTTTACTAACAGGGATTTCTCCTTAGCTCCATTTGTCTGTTTGTTTATTTTTCAGACAGACCCTCCCCATTTAGCCCAGGGTGCTCTTGATTCGTAATTCTCCTGCCTCAGCCTTGTGAAAGACAGGAATATAGGCATTTACCACAACACCCAACTTCTCCTGACAATTCTAAATGTTCTATAATGATAACATGACATCTACACACATCCATTCAGCCACATATCTAATCCTGTCAATATAGTATCTCAGTTTTTAAAATAAGTTGGTGTCATTTGAGAAACTACAAATTAGGACCTATAGAGTCTGGAAAGCTAAAAAATGAATATAATCTAGTTTAAAATGCGGTCAAGATTAAGCACAGCAGCTTCTGGATTTGTTCATCTTAAGTTCTATAAATGATATAGTCTATTTCTTACCTGGACCTCCTCATTTCCCTTGCTGTGATTATGAAACATTGAGAATTAAAACCACAACTCGCTACAAGCCAGACCTCTCTGAAGATCCAACAATCTACAAGCCTAAATTCCTGCTGTTTTGTCCTGAACATATCTCCTTGTCACTTGAGAAAGAAACAAATAGTAAAGATTCTGAAAATAAAATCCTTTTAACCACAGAGGATGGGGTTTATCAGGTTCTTGATTGAGTCATATCTTAATTGTTAAGAATTTCACTACCAATCTAAACTGCTATGGTTCAGATGCAGTTCTTGTAACTCTGGGCAAATTATTAAAAGTTCTTACACTTTATTTTTCTCAACTATTAAATGGAGGTAGTTCATGCTTTATGGTGTTACTAAAGATTACATGTTAGATAACCCACTTCAAAGAACATTGGAAAAGGTCAACCTTCTGTAAGTCTTAGATGATATGATTACCCATGCTGAAGGAATGGCTGTCAGTTTCCACAAAGCAGGGAAGGACTAAAGTGACCCAAATCCGGACACATAAAGAGTTAACTGATCTATGTCAGGGAGGCATGGACGCAGATGTCAGGGTTTTCATGAGAAGTTATATAAATGTGTGTAATAGGTTCCACCCTAAGGAACAGGATTGTAACAAAGGGCAGGGTACGGTTGTTTGTAAAGCAGAGAGGACTAAAACATGGCCCAAAATCCTCCCACAAACTTTACAAACTACCTTGGCTTCTGTCGAGCCAGGATGGAGAGTATCTTGTGCCCAAATGATAACACTACACAAGATGACAGCTTCCAAGCATCTGTTGGCAGAAACATTTACAAAGTATGGAAAGGCTGAGCGTGGAGATCCCTGCAGTCCAGAGGAGAGATGCCATGGCCCACTGTATAACTTATGACCGCAGTCATAGACTTAATGATATTTCGGCCCAGTAAATATTCTGAAACTCAGGGTATCATGTAACCTCTCTGTGACTCTCAATAACACCTTCATTAGAAATTTATCAATATGTTCTTTCCTACTTTCAGGAATGACAAAGTAAACAGTTTGCATCAATCAATCCTACAAAAAGTGTCTAATAGATATCTACTGAATGAAATTGTATTGATTTCTCTGACCATATGGCAGAAAAGAACTTGATGGGCAATCAATCCCAACCCATCTGGAAACGGACCAACTGGACTAAAATCCCTACTGACATGAGAAAGGTTGAGGAGTTTGTGAAGAGCGCCTTTCCTCCTTAGCTGGCAGAACACACAGTTCCTGGAATGCTTTTTCCAAGCTCTGTACAAACTGATCTAACCTAACTGATTAATACATTGAATTCAATGCCAAAGACACCAAGTTTTTCTAAGTATCATCTGGTCAGTTTATAATGGTTCCTCCTAAGACAAAAATCTACAAAATTTTGCTCTCTTAAACTCTGTGAGTTAACATTTTACTTCCTTGAAATTTCAGTTTATTTTACACTAATTATGCACTTAAACCTTTTAAATATTTTGTTGGACAGGTTTTTTTTTTTTTACTGGGATTCTATTTCACGGAAAGATGTCATTTCCAATTGACACATAACACAATAACCTATATTCCTGATATTTTCATGCAGTTATGCTCAAGAATTGAAACTATATTCGTTTTCAAATGGCACTATTCTAATGAGCAATGTTACCTCATCTATACCAAGGGCAACACTGAAATTAGTGTAAACAAAACCTTAAAGGGACATTTAAAGAAAAAGTATTTAGTTTATATAAGCTACATTTAAAAAGTGTATCCTCAGAATTTTCTAGTTTCATTAAATTCTTGATAAACATTCCTACTGCAATTTAATATATATAGTCAATTCAGGTGCACAGCATAAATTTACGTGCCATTTTTTCTAACATCAGCATTACATTTGTTTAACAACATTCAACTATAGTTGTCAGCATCGATCATTTGTTTTAGTCGGAGTTAGGTTTCCTTTCCGTCTGGTTAACTTTCAAATTTCTAAATTCTCACCTGAAAGGGGCGGCAGAGACTCTAAAGTCAGCTTTTTAATAATGAAACCAGGAGTAGAAACCTTTAAACTTGCTAACACAACTACAAACTCGTTTATATGTATAGGCCAAAGAAATGGCCATTAAAGCAATTTGAATGCCAAAAGATCAGTACATCTTTCCCTCCGTCTGAGACTGAAGCTAGGGTTTAGAATCAAGCTGAAGTCTTCACTGATCTTTGAAGCGCAGCACTAATAAGGCATCTTAAGCCACACTCACTTGTTATTTAGATCATGGAATAAGTTATGGTGTCAAACCAGTCCAAAAATCCTTCTGTCGTTATTTGGGCCCTCAAGGGCTATTCCGGCCTACGAGGCTTCCATGAGATCAACGACCGGTTTTGGCCAAACTGGTGGCAGTGTGTATTTAGAAACATAACCGAATCCTGGGTACAAGCATTCCAGGGCGCGCGTCCCATCAGTTCCATTAAGAATCACACTAGAATCCCAACACGGCCCGCCCGGGAGGAACGGGGATGAAAGAGCACTCCTGCCCGTGCAGCTGAGTTTCTGCAGACTTTCAGCAGCGCCGCCGCGGGGACGCTGAAGCTCGGGAGCCGAACCCGCGTTTCCTCCGAGGGACGGGAGAGGGAGCACGCGCCGAGGAAATCCCCAGTTCAGCCACTCCCGTGCCCGCTGACGCCAAGCAACCCACCGTCCGCACGCCGGAAGTGCACGGGGAGGACCCGCCACGTCCGAGAGGCGGGTGACGTCAGTGCGCCGACGTCACGTGCCGACCTTCCGGCGATGGGTGGTCCCGGGCTGCGGTGGGGAGGCGGGGCGGGGGCGGGGCTCGCGGCCGGTTGAGGCAGTGCTGGGTAGGTGGGCGCCGACGGAGCGACTACGGGTCGGGGCTGGGCTCAGCGCCCTGCGAACAAAGGAGTCTGCGGCGGTTCCCGGCTCCGCGGAGGACCGAAGCTTCGCGGTACTCAGGCTCGGCGGCTCCGGGTCGGCTCCACCGCGGGCGCCGCGGCACCTGCCGCCGAGTGCTGCCCAAGGAGCCCGTCCGGCCCGGGGCTCATGATGGGGCTGATCTTCGCTAAATTGTGGAGCCTTTTCTGTAACCAAGGTGAGGCCAGCGGGCTGGTGGACGCGGCGCCGGCAAGTCTAGATTGAGATCGGGACTCGGGTTCAGGGTAGAACTCGGATCTGGGGACTGGGAGCCCCGGCAGGGGAGGCACCTGGTGGTCGGGAATCCCATGCGTGTCCGGATTTTAGCCAACCAAGGTGGAAACAGATTCCTGCATTCTGTTTGCGGGCCTTTTCGTCTCAGTGAACCCAGCCTTAGGTCTGATTAGCCGTAGAAAAGTGTCTCCACAAGAACCTCAAACTTTCCTTTTCTTTAACACGAAACATTAGTTTTGCACTGTTTACCTTCCCCTTGTTTGGGCCAGTGCACCTTCACGTTGTCCGACTTGGCTCTGATTTCTGCTCGTTAAGAGTCAAGGATGATTATTCAGGTGTACAGGTTTCTGAAATTTTCACACACGGGCACAGCTCTCCCCCCCACCCCCCACCCCCTGTAGGCGTTGAAAAAAAAAAACTAAATGCTTTCGGTTATGTGTAAGATGTTACGTGGCCGTAGTTATTCTAGAACAGGTAAGGAAATACCTAGAAGTTGTAAAACCTGTTCCGACTCAGAATGAGCTTGAGAAGAGTTGGTACCGGACAGAAAGGGGGCCCAGTGATAAAGTCTTAGGCGTTCTTGTAACAGACTGGTTTCAGAGAATTAAGACCAGTTTTTTTTTTCCCTTTGTTTCATTTTGAAAGGGTGTGATTTATAAACTAGTTTTGTTTTCATGAGTACCAATTCCTAACATTAAGGTGTTTATCTATTTTGTGGATTTAAACCCTGAAATGAATTTGAATGGCTTTAGTTCACTTGTCCTGTAGATGGATTAAAAAAAAACCCATCTTTTTCAAGCTTATGAGTATAAAATACATGCAAGCACACTAACGCGTGTGCGTATCTATGCAAGTGCTACCAATAAATACCCTTTTTAAGTGACTTCAAAGTGTCCAGAGTTCAGCTCCCTGCGGCGTTACCCATGAATATAATCCATTGTTTTTTTTCAGCAGCTTAAAAATTTTCTAATGCTTGTAAATGTACCATGTGAAGGAATATTTCAATATATAACCATATTATATATTGATTATACAGTTAAGTTTATGTAAATACAAACAAATTACACAGTGATACTCCTCCCCCCACGCCTGAGCCTAAGCAATAAAAATTGTCAGAGAATTGATTCTCCCTTTTTAGTCTGGTTATTGCTGTCTTTTATCTCTGTTCATTAGAGGATTCCATAAGCAGACTAGAAAGGAGGGCGTGTGAAAAGGCCAATCTTGAAGATGATGAAAGCCTTCATGTGGTCACATCCATCTTTAAAAAATTGTTTGAGCTTCCATAGCCCCGTTTCTGCTTAACAATTCTTTCCCCTTCCTGCTGAACTTTGGGAACTCGTGGTTGCGTTCCTCTATCTCATTCACGATTACTTTTTTAGTAAGTAAACCAGTCCTCCAAATTAGACACGGTAGCTGCAGAGATTAAAAACAACCAAGATGCCAACTCTGGGTTCTCAGAACACGCAAGAATTAGTGTAGGAAATTGCTTGCAGATGTTTCTGCGTGTGGGGTGATGGGACTTGGCCTGCCTCAGGTGGTTCCTCGAAGCCTTCCAGGGTAAGTTGTACCTGGACTTGACACTGAGTGGCAGTTTGGGGTGAATGCAAGGTAGACAGAGTAGAATTGGGCATGTTGGTGGAGGCAGATGGGCTAATGTACACAAAGAGGAATAAGTTGGATACACCTAAGGAAATTGAGCATGGTTTAATTAGTTTGTGCAGTTGTACTTCATTTGATGAGATTGGAGCTACGGTAACCAAGAAACTGTATCACTGAGGTTCTTACATGCTGACCAAGACAGTGCATTGAACACAGGAAGGAGTAGAATCAGCGAAGAGTCTGGTCCTTAGGTGTTTTCCTGGAGTGGAATAATGGGATCAGATTCATATAGTAGTCTGAAATTTTTGTTTTCCTTATAAACAAAGTTACCTGTGTTGGCATTTTCCTTTTTTTAACCATTGTGCATTTCTTATTTAGTAGTGCCCGGTTAGAGTTGGATATTGGAATAATCTGTCTGATATTATTAACTCTACCAATTAAGTTAGAATGGGGTGGGGTGAACATCAGGGGCAAGATAAGGCTAGAA